GTGATAATAGAACTGATATAATTCGTTGTGCATTAGCAGCTTTGGTATGAACCAGATCCATACCAGAGTGTGCTCTCAGGTTGTAGGGGTGGAAGGAGGGGTGGTGTGGTCGCGGGCGCTGGGGTGCCGGGGCGCCATAGTTGCGTGCGCGCGCGCGATAGAGAGGTTTAGGGTTAGGTCTCCCGGCTCCCTAAGGAAGCCGAGCAAATATGATTTCTTCTTACTTGGTTAGATTGATACATCTCCTCTCCTTATATAGAGAGGTTTACTTGACTTCCAAGCAAGCAACCCTTATCTCTTATTAACCCTAAGACTAAGGGGCTATACCGCCAGTCCAGGCCCATTAGGCCATTAAGTACTCTAACACTACACCCCACCTGGACATGCAGCTTGTCCTCGAGCTGCAACCTAACCAACTGATAACCATGACTCGACGCAACACAAACCTAACACCTAAAAACAAGCATTTTACATCTTGGCTTGTTTTATTACTCTCAACCTGAAATTGACCGGGACACTTTATTTTGGACCCATCAACATAAAGTGGACACCATCCGCATGTCGGACGTGCACGTGTACAGCCACCTGGATCCCATGGACATCATCTGGACAAAAGGAGTGCATGTGTATGGTCACCTAGAAGTGGTCGCAAGAGCGACCAGCAGAGGCGCCCTCGCGGCGGCCGGCAGCGGAATGCAGTGGTGCTACGCGGTGCGCTCCTGTCGGTGACACCATGCCTTCTCCCCGCCGGGCGGATGTTGGTCTGCACCGCACAGAGAAGAGTGGAGGGCTTTCGATGGAGAATGACAAGGAGGGGTGCGCCTCCCCAACCGCCAATGTTGCAGGCGTTGAGGTCGCTGCCCGCGGGGAAAACAGCATGCCCGCCGCCCATGGGGGAAACCGCATGCCCAAGATCCCCGACGCAGCGGACGAGATCGAGGTCCTTTGCGAAGCGAAGCGCAACTTGGAGGAGCTGCAGCTGCAGACCACGCATCTCCCCCACACGCCGATGCGCTAGGAGGCCGCGAGCAGCAGCCTGCAGCCTCACCGCCTCCGACACATGACGGGTAGCGATCCAAGTCGTAAGCGGTGACAGCGACGGCGGGAACTTGATCTGCTAGATGGGGACGCCCTGGGATGGCGACGACGCAGATGGGAACAAGGTCGTCACAGTCCCGTCGTAGGGCATCCCATACTGGTATGAGATGACCGGCGCCGTGGTCGTGGCTGAGGGCGGCGGCGGCAGGGGTAGCCATTGTTGGTGTGGCGGAGGAGGAGGTGGCTACTGGGGATGCGACTGGGGTGCATAGGGCCCGACGAGGAAGGCCCTGATGCCTGCCACGGCCTGCCGTAATTCCAGGATTGCGGCTGTCATCTGCTCCGGGGTGAGGACGAGGGCGGACGGCGCCGGGGCAGAGGGTGCAATCGCCCCTGAGGACGCCAGCACACCCACTGCCGGCGCACCTGCTGTGTGGGGCAGCAGTGTCGACGAAGACGCTGGTGGCCGCGGGTGGGAAGAACTCGGTGGAGGGCTGGACATGATTGAACCCGGGAAAGTTGATACCAAATTGGTATGAACCAGATCCATACCAGAGCATCCTCTCAGGTTGTAGGGGTGGAAGGAGGGATGACGAGAGCAGCGGCGGCTAGGGTTAGGTCTCTCGGCTTCCTAAGGAAGCCGAGCAAATATGATTGCTTCTTGCTTGATTAGATTGATACATTTTCTCTTCTTATATAGAGAGGTTTACTTGATTCCCAAGCAGGCGACTTTTATCTCTAATTAACCCTAAGAGTAACGGGTTATACCGCCGGCCCAGACCCATTAGGCCATTACGTACTCTAACAAGCTTACTATGAACTAAATTGCTAAAGTACTGGAATGTGCAGTATAGGCCACACTCACTCTATTAACTAGATGACACCCCGCGCGTTGCTGCGGGAATTCATAGTAGTAATGTACAGGATGAATGTTTATGTGTAATAGCAACCGTAACATGTGAATATTTTAACTACATAAAGTTTATTACGTTTCTATGAATAACTCATCGTTCAATTGTAAAAATAGTAACATGTAGGAGAACTATGCATTGTATTTGTGGATTGTGCCTCTTTTGTAAAATGTCTGGAGATGCATCATTCTATTTCTTATGCAATCTATTACAACCGGGTGAGCATATGGTTGGGGTTCTTTCATAGTATTCTCAACTTTGCAATTTCACTTAGCGAACAACTTTTAGTAGAGGTATCTCGTGGTTATGACTTCATTGTTAATGCTTTGATCAGGTGCAAAAACTTGCTTGGAAGTCAAAGAGTGTACATCATATTGAGAATCCTGGACAAAGAGACTACTTGCAGTCATATATGTCAAGCATATTTCAGATCTGAAATGTAGTAAGTAGCAATAGCTAACTTAATATTCTAGGAAGAAGAGTAAAATTGTTGCGTTCTGAAATTATGTCAGAGAGTAGAGACATTTCTTGAGTACTTGATAGGAACTCAAGCAGACTTGAATAAATGGCGTTCAGATAACTTTGTATACAACAGAACAGGCCATTGCTAAATTATCAAAACTCAAAGCATGGAGGGTCGGCAGTATAAGCATCGATCGTCGATGGCCTTGCCTGATTTGCATAATTACGTGGGGTACACACATATGAAATAATTGCAGTAATGAAAACTCACATATAGAAAAGACATCTGCCCTGCACCCAAATTGATGCGAGAGATTTCAAGTAAGGCCAGTAAGTAGTGTACACGCTTACATCAGCTGTGATTCAGTAAAGTAGTGTTGGCACTTGAGAGTGTCAATCCATAGAGGTGTCTTCCTGAGGGTGAGCCTGCATCTTCACACGCAACAGCAGCAGCCACTGAGGGCTGGTTCGTACTGTGTGAACGCCAATTGAGGCAAACAGAACATAATATCCTCCACCTCCATCAACATTAGCTTGAACGCTGAACTGCAAATTTGCAGATTAAAATTTGGGAAAGTTCCCAGGCAGGTCGCTCTCTTCCCTGCCGAAATTTTGTGAGTATTCACAGGCAAGTCGTTCTCTTCCCTACCGAAAAGAGTTCCAGCTTGGGAATCTTGGAGGAACTAACCTTCCCAGCTGCGCCGGAACGGAGACAGTAGAGGGGAGGATGAAATTCAAGTCAACGCCATAGGCGACGACGACCGAGCCGGAGGAGCCCATCGGCAATGGGACCGCAGGCAAGAGAATCCAGGGGAGCCCCCGGAGGCAAGGCCGACAGGCAGTCGTGCCGAAGCCTAACAGTCGTCGGAGGTGAGGCGGATCAGTGGTCGTGCTGGAGCAAGTAGTCAGAGGCGATGCCGATTTGCGTTCCTGCCCGAGCAGGAGAGTCACCGGATGCAAGTTGGAGGATATTCGAAGCGAGAGGAGCGCCCTCCTGCAGAGATCGCCGCCACAACCTTATGAAAAGGATTGGTTTTCATTTTTCTCAATGAAGAGAGGGCTCGATTGGATACTTGAGAGAGACGGTCGAGATCACTTCAGTTATATGGAGCACAGGGCCCAGGTGAGAGACGAAGGGGCCTATGGATAGTGGATGGACGATGGAATGTGGAAAGGCCCTCTGTTCGTCTTCGACTTACAGTTCGTGCCGTGCAGCATGGTTGAAATTACTAATGGAAGGTTACAGAGAGGAGGAAAACATTTGTATATGTGGGACCTATTGGATGACGTGGATAGGCTGCATGTTTAGATAAATAGGTTAGTGGGGAGGAATCTCTTAGGTATATAGGATGTGGATATTTTTGTTAGATATCGTTCGTACTTATGAATTGATGGTGAGTTCACATGCCAAATAAACAAAATGTACTTCTACCTACATGTGGGACTAGCAGCCTTTCAAGAGACATAAATAAACAAATACTATAATTTTTACTCACCACTCAGATCTAACCCAAATAAACAAATACACACTACCCTAATTGAGAGAATAACACTCCTGTAAAAAACACAAGTACAAAATGCAAGTGTGTGACTCTTAACTCTAAATCGTAATCTTGATTTTAGTTTCTCTTTCCATCCAGTTCTTGCAGTTCCACATCTGATCCTGTCCTTGTTGGTTTTAGAACGTAGCTCGATTCACCCAGATGCAGCACATGTACGTGCAAAGCTAGCTCCAAACAAGCACACAAGCAGCTTGATTGTGCGTGTCTTGCCGTATGTATACTCGAACTAGAGGCTAGCCTCAACTTGGCAGAGTCTCGTGGCGACTCGCATAACTTGCGAACGGAAAAAACAGATCAGAGATTTTTGGTTAGTCACATACTCACATGGGCGCGTCGCTCCTTGCCTTTATTTATTGCTTCGATGATCTAGTTTACAACATGGGGTTACATAGTACTCCCTCTGTAAACTAATATAAGAGCGTTTAGATTACTAAAGTAGTAATCTAAACACTCTTATATTAGTTTACGGAGGGAGTATAAATTGCAGCTAAACTAGTCAATATCTATCCTACTCGGTGATTGCCTCCAAGCCCACCGGACAAGGACTAGATGTCGTGGTTAATTCCCACAGTCCTCATATCCAATCCATGAATCTTTTACCCGCAACTTGCTCATGCCTATTCTCCTACATATAAAGTCCAAAATGTCATCTGACTTATAAATCTCGCAATGGACCAACTATGGCCTCTTAAGATTCTCCAGCGACTGCGTCATAATATTAACTGTATTTTTCTCTCTTTTTAATTGCGAATCACGCAATAGCCCCAAGACACCATAATCTTTTGACGATCTCCTAAGCTGCTGGTCTAATTTCTCATCTTTTTTATGGGATGACTTGGTAGCACCACATGGGAGTGTATGATTTCTGCTGATAGTATGGCATTTTTATTTCTCTTTGAAGCACACTAATTCTTGCGCAAAATAAAAGGCACTAACACAAACCGTCTCTGTCTGCAGATTGCAAGCTATATTCTGATGTGCCCTTTTTGAGCTGTGAAATTCTGTGGATTAACTACCACAGAGAATAATGGCAGAGGGTGTGATTCTTTTAGCCGTGACGAAGATTGGCATTGCTTTGGGAAATGAAGTGATAAATAAAGCTGGTCCGCTGTTCAGAAACGTCAAAGCACAGGTAGCAGAACTCCAAGGTGGAATGAGCCGTATAAGTTGCGAGCTTAGGCTGATGCATGAGTTTCTTTGTACAATGGATGTACGCAATCGGAAGGACCAGGCATATGGAGTTTGGATGGAGGAAGTGCGGAAAGTAGCACACCGGATTGAGGACATAGTAGATGAGTATCTACACCTGGTAGGGAAGAGACATGAAATTGGATGGAGGTTTTATCTCATGAAAGGATTCAAGCAACCAGAAGATTTGCTTTCTCTAACCCAGATAGTCTCCCAGATAAAGGAAGCAGAGACCAGTCTTGTGCACCTATTCAAAGCAAGAGAACGATGGGTTCCAATGGCAAACAACGGCCCTGCTGATAACTCTGCCTATATTGTTGAGAGGTCCCAACATCTTGCAAGCACTTCTCGTTCTATCAGTGAAGATCTTGTGGGGGTCGAGGAAAACAGAAAGAAACTACAGAAGTGGCTAGGGGATCATGTGAAGGAACGCTCTATAGTAGTACTGTATGGCATGGGAGGCCTTGGCAAAACTGCTCTAGCTGCAAATGTGTATAATGAGAAGAGAGAAAAGTATGACTGCCATGCATGGGTGTCTGTCTCACAAACATATTCTCCAATAGAGCTCTTGAGGAAACTATTTAAGGAACTTCACCGTGATGGGGAAACTGCTCCTTCCGAGATCACTACAATGGACTTGATCAATATAAAAGGTAAACTCAGCAAGTTTCTAGAGCAGAAGAGATACCTGATTGTGCTGGACGATGTCTGGAAACAAGAAGCATTCAGTGATTTGTTAGGAGAACTTGCCCCAAATACTAAAGGAAGCAGAATAGTCATTACGACGCGCAATGACGATATAGCTCGGCTGGCGTCCAAAGGACGTGCACTAAAAAGTGAATGCTTGCCAGATGACAAGGCATGGTTACTCTTCCGTAGGAAAGCTTTTCGGAGGGAGGAAGATTATGAATGCCCTACAGAGCTGAAGGGCTACTCAGAGCAGATAGTGGCCAAGTGTAAGGGCTACTCAGAGTAGAATGTGTACGATAAAGAATGTTTTTAAAAAATCTTATTTTCTAAAATGTTACACGTGTATATAAAAAATGGCCCTGGTGGATACAAAAATGTGCAATATGTATAGGAAAAGTAGACATCAAAAATAAAAGTTGCAAAAAATGTTAGTCAAGTGTTTAGACAATTCTAAACATGTATATAATAAATGTTTGTAGTGTATAGGAAAAATATAGAAATGTGTATGAAAAAGTAGACGTCAAAAACATAAGTATGTTGGAAAAAACATTAATCATGTATTTATTAAAAATGGGCAGAATAAAAAATTATTACATAACAAATGTCCAGCAAGTATTCAAAATAGTGTTCATAACATGTTTTTCGAGAAACATGTACATCGTGTATTGGAGAAATGTAGAACGTGTATCAGGAAAATGTTTTATGTGTACATTGTGCACTAAAAAAATAGATATGTGTTTGAAGGAATAGAAAAATGATGAAAAACGACAAAGAAACATGAAGAAAGCAAAGGAAAACTAGAAAGAATCCAAAGAAAATCAAAGTATTATGAAAAAAACCGAGGGAAGAAAGAAAATAAGACAGAAAAAAATGAGAAAACAAGAAACTGGAGAAAGCCCAGTGCAGAAAAGAAAAGGAAACAAAGAAAATGGAAGGAAACCAAGGGAAAAAACAACTAAACTGAAGGAAAATGGAAAAGAAAGGAAAAAACAGGAAAGAAACAAAGAAAAGAAAAAAAGACCCAGTAAAAACTGATAGAGAAATGAAGAAAATGGTTAAAATAATAAAACCGGAGAAAAAAGAAAAGAAAAAGAAAACTATTGTAGAAATAGAGAAAACCAAAAGAAAAAAAGATAGAAACAAAGTGAACTAGCAAAGCGAATGCATCGAACGTAGTGAGAGCAGTAGCTGCGAGCGAACGAACGGGTCGGACTAGTACTGTAGCATGCAGGGAAAAGCTTCAGTGAGACGGTAGATACTCTCATTATAAACGAAACGTAGTTCTTGCGCATAATATTGACATGTGGACTGTCCGTCATATTCCGTTTCAATAGATTAATTTACTATTGTACTTGTCCATGAGTTTTTTTGTTACTAATATTTACCAATAAAATCCACGCGCTATCTGTTAAAATACCCCATAGTTGTGGTTTTTTGTTGTAACAACCATACCTTTTGTCTTGATGTGATTTCTAACATTTCAAAAATAGAGGTTCGTCTCCTGGTTTCATTTCAGAAAAGGTTCACAACTGCACATACAAAGGACTGTGTTAGCGAAGCCATCGCATATCTGTAAGCGAGTCAGTCATTTAGAGCATTTGTAGTTGGGCGAACGGACTGGTCACTGACCGGTCATGAAATCCCGATCCGGACGGGCTCAATATGTCCGGACTGATCAGTATCCCTTATATTCAGTCCACGCTGCCTCATTCTGATCCCAAATATATTCATCTCCATCTGCATCTCAGAGCAAACCTAGCCACTCCACTCCACTAGACTTCCTCTGAAAGCTCCCTTTCGACGATCTCCGACATTCTTCGGTATGGCAGATAGCAAGATTCTACTCCGACAACTCTTGATCCATCGACTGGGGCCATGGCCGTCCGCGTGGCCCTCCGCCGCTCTTGGGAGGAGTGCGCGCGACCGAGGTCAGATTCGATCCGGTAGAAATCCATTACGTGGCCGCAAGTGGCGCTCGAATCCGCCGGAGCTGGAGGCTCGAGTTTGGTCTGCTGCCCATCTTCGGTGCAGAGGCGTATGAGTGTTATAGGGATCGGTGCGCTCGCCGCGCGAAACAGAGAGCGCGGGAGGACGACCCCCGCCGCACTGCCTCGGGCGAGGAAGTTGTTTGTGTCCACATCCTCAAACGGTAGAGGAGAAACACGTG